TGGCAAAGTTTTGTAATAGCTGCCAAGATGATTTTGATATCTTACCCACTCCAGTGTTGATGGCCTATAGGAGAGCAGAGCATGAAGCCACTGGATACACTCCAGCAAAGTTGATGTTTGATCGGGAACTTCGGTTTCCAGTGGATCTGTTAACAGGACGCCCACCTTATGAAGAGTTGCCTGAAAATGTGTCAGAATTTGTGAAAGTGTTGTCCGAAAGGATGGATGATATTCACAATCAAATGTGTTCAAACTCTAAAACGTCTGCTGATTCGATGAAGCTATGTTATGATAACAGATCTACTGAAGTCAGCTTTGTACCAGGAAACAAGGTGTGGTTGTATAATCCCAGGAAGACCAAAGGGAAGTCTCCTAAGTTGTCATCTCCATGGGAAGGCCCATATGACATAGTGGATCGTCTCTCAACGTGATTTTCCGGATAAAATGTGGTCGACGAGGTAAGCCAAAGGTGATGCATGCCAACAGGCTTTGGCATTATCACGGTCCAGGACATTTCAATTGGGACGAAGTGAACAATGGAACAAATGACGCTGCTGAAGACGTGTCACCTAAAAAAGCCACTGTCGAAGAAGAAACTCTACCGGGTTTGAGAAGGGAAACAGTGAAGCCCTTCATGAAGTTAGTACCACTGATGTGACTGTTACGGATAATAGGACATTTCCTGATGGAGCAGATGAAACCCACGTGAAGCAGAAGCCAACGAGATGGAGACCAATATGGAAGAAGATACGTCCCGTAAAATTAAGAGACTTTGTTGAATTTCATTTTGTGTTTGTAAATTCTGTACATTTAATTAAGTTATTGTTAATTATCTATTGGTTTAATATAAGTGGCTATTGTTCGGGACGAACAATACTAAGGAAGGGCAGCGTTACGACAGTGGAAGTCACGTGACGCTGGTAAAACGTGATGAGTTTCTAGAAGGATTGGGGAACATCACGAATAATCCAGTATTTGTTAGGCGCCCTCTATTTTGTATATATAAGACCGGCAGGAAGTGACGCAATAATAATTGCAGATTGAAGAGATAGAGACAGATAATCGAGTCAAGTCGCAAGTAAAGTGCGTGAATATTTGTGAATTATAGCATATGTTTAAGTTAAAGTGACTGTGGAAATTACGTGTATTGCAAAATTGTATTGAGAAAGAATAAACTAGTTTCATTTAAGAAAGAACCTGTATCGCTGAAATTCTTCGGAAAGAATTTTTACAGGAAATTAACCAACGAACACAGAGGCGTAACAATTTGTTTTTTATATAACTGTTTACAAATCATACATTGTATAGTTCACTAGTTATGAATTGGTGATTGTTGCATTATTACATTATGTTACAATTTTTTTTTGAGTTTTTCTTGTTGTTTTAATTGATTATTATTGCATCATAATATCTAGTAATGTTTGGAATGCTCTAGACCTCTGTTGGAGTATAAATATGCTGCCAAAATGTAGTTCGATGGTGCGCTAAATCTAGACTAGATGATTGTGAGTTTAGCCATAGAGAGCATATAGTGACAGTTTTTAAAGTGAAATTATTACAAATTGTATTATTATAACAGAGTAGAGAAGACTAATTCGTCTTTCCAAATTGTGTTCTAACATAACTCAACCAGCTTGTGTGGACTTTGGCGAAAATTAGATAATTATTTAAAGTTGTGGATACAACTGTGATAACCAACAATGGCCTATACAATCCTGACAAAAATAAACCAATAAAAAGTATATATGCAGAAGTCGAGTATCTTATATTAAAATAGTGTTGGTAGCCTCACCATGTCTTTACAGTTGACGTCGCTGCACATTTTTCATGCTATGTCTGACAATTGTGAATCTTCAGTATAGTTTTCATTGGAAAAGGCTCCATTGTTAGACTGTCATGTTAAAAGCACATTGTTGTTTCCTGCTGTCTTTTAATATGCCATCTAGTGTATGAGAATGATGGATCCCAGAACTCATTTTAACAGTCTAATTGCAAAGATATAGCTATTGGGCCTGCGGCCTTTTTTGGAATTGTCTGACAGTTTTAGAACAATGTACTCATACTTAAGATTCAATAATTTTCACCATCCATGAGATAAAGGATTTTATTGAAATTATAGTTTAAAAATGAGTTATCATCACAGTATTACATCACAGAGTAGATTTTATTGAAGTATTTCTTTGTAGATGCAGTTATCAATGAAAGTGCCTTGCTTTTCTGTTGCAAAACTCACGAGATCTTCATTAAAGAAAAAGAAATATTTGTTTAAGTTTGTTTTTTACTTATTTTATTTATGAAACTTACTTCTTTTTGTTTGTAATTTTTATTGGTTAAATCTGAAACATATAATTTTTGTGGAAATTTCAATTGTCTTATTTATTGATCAGTTATAAAAATACTGCTTATTTATGAAAATATTATCCAGTTATGATTGGTGATGATCGGTGTAATAGTTTCTGAGATTCGAGTTTTGGACGTATACATTGCGATCTCCATTATAATAAAGATACGATACTCATTAATCACTTTATATAACATCTACATGTATGCAATTTCTCATGCATATATTTATTCATACGTGTATATTGCTATACACATATATCTCAATGTTACATGGTGTCACTCATACTAACAGCTGTGTCTCGATAGCCAAGGTAGCATAACGTGCTGTTATCTATGAGTCATTAAACTCAACATGTATTCTTAGCATCATAAAATAAATAATCACTAGCAAAATTGAGCTAAACTAAGACTTTGTAGTTAAACTTCTTTAAGCCATAACCAATATTCTTGCTGTCTTGCAGTATTTATCATTATACACTTACATCAACTTAGGCTAAATACAATATTTTGCAGCAACATATACTTACTGTTCTAGATTACTGTATTGTATTCTGTGACTAGAAAGAATGCAACTTCCTCCCTGAACATGGAAAAGCTATACGCACACAGTTAAGTGTACCGAAGGGAGCTAACGAGTATTGTGAGGTATGCTCCTCAGAACTTCTAATTATACAAAGCTAGACAAGATTAGAGATTTTTTATGCTCTGAAAGTAAGGGTTGCAAAGCCCTTTCAACTAACTTTATGAACTTTTATTGATTATCCTCATTTATACAAATTGATGATATTTTAGGCACAGCATCCACTGACACAATTTGTTTTAACTATGCAACAAACTAGCAGCTATTACCCAATATCTCTCATTGACAATGCTCTTTCATTCCAGTTAATCTTGTGATTAAATAACCATCCTAACTTTGTAGTGAGCAAGTGGCAATCAAATGTTGTAAATACATTTCACTGTGAAACATCACTTTATAACTAGGAGGGCAAGGAGTGCCACTTCATTTAAGTCATTGATCTTACGCTCATCCTGAACAACCGATAAATATTTTAAGAATTTTCTTCCTTACCAGCTGGCTCAAAATAATACAAAACAGTGATCTCATCATCCTCTGACTCCTCAGTTCCAACATTCGATTCTCGATCTAGTCAATGCATAAGAAGTTCATCAATAACTTATTGTCTTACCTTCATGCTCTTACCCGCTTCCCACAACAGCTGTAATTGATAAGTCAATGAACCATTTTGTTGGAGAATGAAATACAAACCTGTCCAGCCAAATATAGGTTGCTTCCATGATACTGGTTCGTTGCAAACCCATAACAGTATCTAAAACGAAGCATTCATTTCTTAATAATCTTGTCATAGCTTCTCCTTCAGCCAACATAAACCTTAACACCTCCACATAATCAAAAGAGTGGATCATACATCACATCCACAGAATATACATCTTAAAGCTCTAGATCTGACAACCTCGTATTGTTTGCAGGCCTAATTTTTCAGTTCTTCTTGTAATGTGTGAGAAGACAGATTCTATTCCAGAAGCGGGGGCATCTTCGACATAGGCTGCAGCATGGAGATCATGGGAAGATTGGGTAACCCTGCCCATTCACTAGAATACAGTGTGGTTGTATTGCAGAGCTGGGATGTGTGGGTAGGTGGTTAACCCATGACGTGGCAAATTTACTCGAGTGGGCCAGTCTGTCCAAGGTGTTATCACAGCAGCTGCAGTTTCAAGCTTCTTTATCTCTTTTGATCAGTTAGAATTTACCTCTTCGTATCTTTTCGCTACAGAAACTGCCTCTGTAAGGATGGGGATGTCTCTCACGCCCAAATGATGCTTCATTGTTTCACTTGGAAGTCTTTTAACATTAATGCAAATGTATTTAATTTTATATTTAGTTTGAAATATTTCTCGAGATTTTTCTTTTGTTAATTGCAAAGCCGAACAGTGAGCTACTTGTGCTCTAATATTTAGTGTTATACGTTATTAAAAGTACTTCAATCTTTATTCATCTCACATCAGTATTTTTGTTTGAATTATTTTTGCACCTTCTCCTGCATACTCAATATTTCTCTTCTTATTTTGGTTATAAAAGTCTTCCTTAACAATTGTTTTTCTGAAAAAAAGGTAACCACTTTATATTATTATTTAAATATTTAAATAAATTAAAAGGAAAAACTGAGTAAAAGTTTTAGATATTAACAGGTGTCGCTACGCATGTCACTGTAAATTTTTTTCTCCTTTATCCAACTGTTGTACTAGAACTTAGAAGTTAAGAATTACTGGTACTATTATGGCTAAAGTTATTGGTCTAGATAAGATTAAAAGAGGTTTTGATATTATACGCCAGAATGGCGGAATTCTTGGATCGTTTCTGAAATTATATAGGTATGTATTTATATAGTAGATTTTTGTGCATGAAATGAAGATTCAAGTTCAAATAAGGAAGTTGTGTGGTATTAGTATTACTGATAGTGACTTAATCGATAAAGGTAATACAACTGTTACTTAATTACAACCGAGCCAGCGTTTTTAACTGTAACGGAAGGTTAACCGAATAGGCTTAGGCCACATAATAGCTAGATGTTGCCCAAATTTTTTATTCGCTTTTTTATTTTTCAGCCTGTTTATAAATGCTTGAAAGTTGAATGTATTTTGCCAGATTTTATCATAATATTAATATTTTTTATCAATTTTACCCTGTTTGTTAAACTTAAAAATAGAAAAATTCTTTCAAAGTTCAAAGTCAACCCTTATCATTTAAATTTTTTCAAGGTTCCCTTAAATTTACTGCATCCAGGTCTGAATGCAGCCTGTGTCAAAGGTCAACCGTTCTGTTACTGTTAGAACAATAGGACTGTCTCAGCTGAAGATAACTTGTACCCTGCCAAAAGTTATATTTGTGTCCCCATGTCTCTTCGTTAATGTGTCTGGTGGCATATCCAGTGGTGTGAGTGTGCTATATATATATATATATATATATACGCACACACACACACACACACACACATATATATATATATATATATGTGTGTGTGCTAGACGTTTGAAACGTCACTCATGGACTTCATGAGGAAAGCAGAAGGAGATTTCTGCCCATCCCTGCTGACCCTTTGATTTAATAAATTGGGTTGGTCTGCTTTTCAAAATAGAGAATTGCATTTTCTCCAGTGTGATGTTCCGCTGGACTCTTCAACAAGTTTACTTCCCACCTATTTTCTTCCAGTGGAGCACAGGAGTCCTTACCACTTCCTAGTTCCCAGTTGCTGAGGTGGTGGACCATGGAGGCTTCCTCCTGAGTGAGTTTAGAAACTTACTTTATTGCACATACCCATGGTTATCCACTCAATGAGAAGAGGGTAAAGCTGGTTTCTCTCTTTCTGTTTCCCTTGGATGATTTTTCCCAGGTAGACAAATGTCGGTTGGAGCAGGTCCAGCCTATGTGGGATCCTTCTCATAATGCTGGGTTTGGGATGACAAAGCCCCGTTTCTACGGTTGTGTGCAGTAGATGCCTGTCTTCTCATTAATTCCAGTTGCAGGAGGTTCTTTTCCTGCTCTAGGGTTGGGTTTTGGAGACTTCATTTGCCTCGTAATACTGGGAAGAAGACGTAAACACTCTTTTCCTATGGTTGGGTGAATATTCCATGCCCTCCTCGTGTTCGGATGCAGGATGTCTCCTCCTTATATTTATGGTTGGTTGAGTTATTTTGCCTGTAATACCGGTTACAGCTATTACCCTATTCTTATGGTTGAGTTGAGGCAATACATGACCCTGTAATGCCAAATTTAGTTTGTCGTACTTCTTGCTTCTACAGTTGTTTTGGGAGTTTGTCCAATTTCAATCGAAAGCTCGTTTCCTTTTCATAATTCTGGCTGCTTGATGTTTACTTTGTTTACTTACAGTTGGGGTTGATGGGTATATTTCTAATACAATATGGTTGTTACAATTTTTTTTTCATCCTGAATCTCCTAATGTCAAGGGCAAGTTATGGAACCTTGTTTGTCCATTTGAGATTGGATATGTACTTAGCTAATTTTGTTTATATATTATCACAGCTTGAATCTCTCAGAACATATTACATTGTGCAAATATTTTCCTTTAAAACCCATTTTGATTAATTTCCTACTTCCTGGGTGAAGAACTTTTATGTTCCAGAAGTAGTGCAGTACCCAAAGGTGTGCTTCATTTTTATCTCCGAGCACACCTATTTATTCTTGGTGGGCACTTTCCACTTGGGTTGATATTTGTGCACCTACAGCGGCTCTTCCACCTTTGCAATATGGGATTCTAGCCCTGTGTGAGTGGAGGCAAGACAGTATTGGAATTAACATATTTATTATACTGAAAATGTATTTCCAATAGGTACTTACCTCCTCTAACACCCTTCCTCCCCACTGCCTTTTGAGGCCTGCTAATTCTTGAAAGTGAGGATTGAGCAGGAATAGCAGAGAGAGTAAGCTGCATCAGTCTAGGTGGTATAATACTATTGGTGGAGAGTAGTCACATGATATGTACACTGGTGTGCTGATTGTGAAAATTTTTTAGCAATGATTAGAGAGCAAACAAACATTGAGATAGCTTTGTGTGAGAGAAGTATGTACTTATTGTACATTTTCAGTGGAAGAAAAATGTTAACTTGGATTTTTGTTTTATATTTTACTTATGTGTTATTTATGTTTTAAGATACATATTTGATAGGTTTAATAATTATTTTTATATAACCCAACGCCTCCTCTGTTCTCAAGAGTTTTAGTGTAATGTGTGTGCACCACTACATTCTGCTGACGGCTAAATTTTCATAACATTGGTCAGGGACACCAATTGACTTGTGTTATGATAGATAATAAATATGCTAAAGGACAGGAAAGAAAGATAAAACATTAAAAATAAACTATATGTGAAAATGTAAAGAAATGCAATTAAGAATATAACCTAAAGATAAAACAAAACACGTAATTACAGGAAGCATTTATTAAACGTTTTGGAATAGTCACAATTCCATCATCAGTAATCTAGTGTTACAAAACCAAAAAAAAAAAACTATTTGTAATTACAACAGAAATATATATATATATATACATAAGAAATAAACAATTCGATTGTACAAATATAACATGAGAAAATGAAAACTGAGGCGCAAGTGAAATAGTTAAAATAGGTTTAAATCCAGTGAAGACTGTGTAGTATTTAGGGACAGGAGAAGAGTTTTTATGTATAATGTTTCTTTTATAAGAAGTTCAGTATCATGGTTGGCTGTTGAACGAATTTTAAAGTTTGATAGAGAAATCGGATGTCCTGTTTCTCTATTGTGTTGATAGACAGAGTTGGGGGGGTTTCTAACCTTTCTTCCAGTTTTTATAGATATGCCCGTACTTTAAGGTGACGTTTGGTTTCACCAATATAGGAGGCCTTACAGTCTCTGCATGTGTATAAGTAGACAAGATGTGAACAATGGGCAGTCGGCAAATGATCTTTGTAGCAGAAACATTTTTTTACTCTAAAGTTGGGTTTCATAATGACTTTCAGGTCAATTTGGGGATAGTAAGTATTACATATCTTTTTCATCTGTTTCGTGATCAGAGAGTTCTGTCTCCCGAAATGAGGTAAGCAGGCGTATAAGGGAAGTTTGGGTACAGTGAGTATCTTTGGTGGTTTGACAAACAAATTAGTTAGGAATGAGGCAGTTATTTTCTTCAAGAAATGCACAGGGTAACTGTTTCAAGAAAGAGAATAAAGCTGACACAACTGTAAAATGTCATAGACACAAAATTGTTTGGATGTGGTTGCAAGTGGGACTTGTGAGGGTGGCCAAAATCATGAGTCTGGTTTCATCTTTGTGCTGCACATGTCCAAGATATCTACTATGCTGAATACCATATCTGTCTTTCTCTCTCCCCCTTGCTCTTTTTGCTTCTGTGCATCGTTTTAGAGTTTTCATCAGCAGACTACCTTCTTGTACTACATGTACAGGATATCTCTACTATGCTGAACATTTTTTACCACTTATTAACCTGTTATTTTACTTAATGTAATTTTTATAACTAAAGAAAACTACAATGTGATGAATAAAATGGAGTCTAGATTAAAGTTCATAATTTAATTACATTATTAATTGTAATGCATTATACAATCTTTAGTCATTGATCTGTGGCCATATCTTCTAGAATGTGAAAATACTGCTGTACTGCACAAGTTTTAAGGCAATGAACTATGTTACTGTTTGGACTCTTGTGAAGGAAAGCTTACAACTAAGTAACTCACTTTTATGGGGTCACTTTATTCTCATATTAAAATAATTATAATAATAATGATAGACAACTTTACTGGTAATGTAAAACTGTTAAATAGAAAGTAACTATACCACAATTGACCCTTAAAGGCAGCATGTCTACTTATCCAATTTTATCAGTGTACAGTGCTCTTGTGAAACTTGTGAGCTGTTCTGGTCACCATATCACAGGAAGGATATTAAGATCTTTAAAGAGTTCAGAGATTTGTTACAATATAATGATAAATGGTTTAAAAAATTAAGCTATATGGAACCATTTAAATTTACAATATCATTGTTTTTCCAGCTAGTGGTTGGAAATCGCTAAATCTATAATCAATTCTAATTAGTATTGTCACAGATAGCATGGGTTTAGAACAGGATGGTCATATCTTCTGAACATATTTTATTTGAAATGTTACATTTAATCAAGATAGGGTAATGCAGTGGATTACTAGTTTAATGGATTGAGTTATTGGTTGGATGGAAGAAGAACATAGAACATTCTAAATAATTGGTGAAGTTACAATTGATCAGTGTTAAAAGTAGTGTATTTCAGGTTTCTTTGTCGAGTCCTTTTATATTTCTCATTAATAATACGGAAAATAGAAAAACAAGTAAATTTGTTGAGCTTTTACAGGGTTTTAAGCTAACTCTCTCTTATGCTCAGATGTGTGCAGTCTGTTTTGAGAGCAAAATCCACCATCAAATTAAATATTTATAGGAAATAAATCTGTAACCATTTTTCCTAACATTAAAGAAAATTCTTTAAAATCTAATTTTATTTTCTAAAAAGTTTTATTTATTTAAGTTTATACATAAAAACAAAATTGTATGTTTTGATTTTGGGTTGATTCAGAAAGTTCCCAACAAAGTTTTTAGTGTTTGTGAGTTTCCTGAAATTTTTCTGAACATAATATGGCACTTATAACACCCCAGGAGAAAAGTTATATTAGTTTTGAACAAAACAGCTCTAAAAGTGTGTTGATTTATTTCTTTTTAGCCAATTACAGTATCTCAACCTTGTTTGTTATGGTATGATGTAATTTTCTATATCTCAGCTTCCAGAAGCCATAGGCTGTTGATCTAAGTACATTATGAATTCTTTTCTGTTCTTTTTCATTATAAACACCAAAAATGGTTTCTGTACTATGTAAATTTGCAAAGATTTGAGCAAAATAACAGCTTAGCTTGGTAATAAGTTGTTAGAAGAAAAGGTGTTTGTGAACAACTTCTACTACATTTACATTTTGTTTTTAAAGCTTGCAGAAAGCATTTTGTACTTCATCCTGGTTATGAAAAGATGAGTTGCATCATTTTCCACTCGACCGTATTAAAATTCATTTCACCAAAGGCCTGGTTTGCATAAACCATCAGTTTAAGTAACTGTGTAAACAGATATGGTAGAAAAGTAAACAGCAAAACTGCATGCTTTGTTTTTCAAATTAAAACAAAGATAAAAATTTACAGTTTACATAATTAAAAATTTGTATGAAAGTTTTAAAAGAACATAGGAAGACTTAACCGGATGACTATCGGCTACTAACTTTCTTAGTAGGCAATGCAAGTCTTGCTATATTTCATTCCAACAATAAAAGCTGTGGACGAATATTT